ATAGGAAAAATTATTCCATACGGACAGTGTATGCAGAAATACATACGCTGTCTGATCTTCGCTGTTTATCATGACAAAAATGTATTTCGATGGGTCCTATTTTTTTAATTTTTTTTTTTTAAATGATGGACGGTGGAGATCTGATCGTATGCAATAATTTTTTTTAAAATAGACATTGCATGTCAACATTATCCTGCACAATCTTAAAAAAGATTGTCAATGCAGCAATAATCGCCTTAAATGCATGAAAACGAAGAACCATTATCTGAGATTATCTTCAGTCTCAACTAATTTAAGATCTAGAATTGTTAAAAAAAAGAAGGAAAAAAAAATTAAGAGCTAGAGTAAATTATGGACTTGTAGATATGGTATATCAGGTAGTAAATGAAGTTAGAAGTTTATGTATGAGAGCTCAAGCAAGAGTACAAGAGAGAGTTCAATTAAGTGGCATCATATCTTGACATGGAAATTAATTTTTAATGGCCAAACTAAAAACTCAACTTGAATTTACTCTGTAAACATTTGAGTTCATAAGAATGATATTAGGATTAATGAATTGTTTCATACTAGAAGCTAAATGTGATAATTAAGAGATCAAGTGGAAGTAATACAAAGTCTTTTCAAAATAATAAACATCCTTTCACATCTCTTATCCGAACTCATATCCCATCATTATAAGAAGTTGATTCATGCCTAAAGCTAGGAGAAGACCAACTCTATAAGGGACAATCTAATCCTAGAAATGGAGGTAAAAGAGACCATTTTAATTGGAATAATGATGACTTTAATAGCTTTTCTAGGACGGTTAAAGTTAAAAATCCCTCCTATAATGCCATGTATAACCTTAATAGAATCTTAGATTAGTTAGTTTAAATGGATGATTTTTTTTCTAGCATAAGATGGAACCAATGAGTTATATTATCCAAATGAAATACACTAAACATGACAAATTTTATTAGAATAATATCTAAGGTAATAGATTAAAATGATGGAGATATAAGAACTAAATATTATCCTAAGAAACATGATAAGAAATTATATCTATAATCATTCACTTCCAGATAATACAGTCTCTCTATAACTCAATATTTAAACACTTTTAATGAATAGATTGCAAGGACAATTAAATAAATAATAATTGATAATAATCTAATGAATTTATCATTAGACATAAGGTAAATAGTAAAAGTAAAGTTGAGTTATTTGATCCTGAAACTATATAGGTGGCCTTCCATTGTGCTTTGTTGTTAACGAACAAAAAAAATCTACTTCTCTTTCAAATTTAAAAGAATAAACCCCTTCACCTTATCCTATATTATTAGAATCACCCCACATATTAAAAAAAATCCAATTATCGATGCTTCTAGAGATGAGATTTCTAATAATAATAAAGAGATAATTTATTTCAAATATAATACAATGAGTTATATACAAAATCATTGTGTAGCCGTATAATTTTCCTAAGAGAAATTAGTAATCCAATAAATTATGATATGAAAGATGCTTATGATAACATACCTCTTTCTGATGACGATCTAATGTGCAATACTAACCTTCCAATAAATGTATTGAGATGTTTAACGATTTAGAAAAATAGAATAGAGGATTTGAGAAGAAATAATTTTTTAGTAAGTATATTGTTTGTAATGGGAATATTTGTATGCTAGTAATAGATAGAGGAAATTGAATGAATGTCAACTTAACCTATACCATTACTAGAGAAAGTCTAGTGATTGAACCACTCTAAAAATCCTTTCATGTTAGTTGGGTTAATCATATACCTTTGTCCATCACAAGTAGGTGTCGTATTCCGATAAAAATGGGCAATTATGATGACCAAATTCGATGTGATGTCTTCTTAATAGACATTGCTCCTATTTTATTAGGTAAACTCTAGTTGTATGACTCAATTGTGATCCACTATGATAGGAAAACTAATTATTTCATTAAACATAGTAACAACACAGTGACACTTCTTCCTATTAAATTTCTAGAGAATACATCCACTATAGTATCTCATAAAATCAACGTTGATCTATAACCAAACCCATTCTAAAGAAAGGTGTTATACTTCAACTGATGCTTATAAGAAATCTTATTATTATGGTTTACTCTTTCATTTTCTTATCTTGATTCTAACACTACTGTCTAATCTACTTTATTAACTCCAAAAGTAGAAAACGTTGGATTTGAAACTATAAAAAAAGGAAATTTTTTTATTTACAATCCATATAATTATTGCATTTGAAGGAAGTGCCAACTTATTTTAGTGAGATTCACATACATGTTATGGTCTCGCATATTCTTACTATGTGATGAAATTTACCTTAGGAACTACTTAATAACTTGTCCCTTCTTAGGTCCATTCAAAATATCATTGAGTTATTCCTAAGTTTATAATTTTCTAACTTTTTCCATTATAGGATGAACCCTATAGAGCATTGATCCACAAAAATAATATACCGTTTTAAGTACCATTTTTATGCTATTTTTTGTGATATTGCACTTTAAAGAAATGTATTTTTATGTTTTTATTGTAGGTATATCATTTTTAGGCATTTGGAGAAAAATGATTAAAAGAGCGAAATTTGGAGCAAAAACAAGCAATTTTGGGGTTTGGCGCATGATGCGCCAAAATCCAGAGCGCTGGCGCATGATGCGCTAAGCGCAAAATTTTCCAATTAAGGCGGTTCGAGATGAATTTTGCGCAAAATTTCAAAGAGACACTTGTTCTAAGCACCCCATGGAGTGATTAAATGCATGTAGTAACTTTGGAAGGTTCTAATTTGAAGGGATTTGACTCTTGAATCAAGGAGACACATCTTTTGAAATTCAAAGTTTTGAATTTTGAATTTTGGTGGGAATTGAGACTCTTTTCAGAGAGGGGAGGCAGCCAACAAAAGGGAACTTCTGAAGGGACTTGGAAAAGGGGGACGCAAAATTTAGAGAGAGAGAGGAGAGGCGTGAGTTAGAGAGAGAAAAATGAGGAGATTTTCTTCTAGGTGTTGTAAGAGGAGAGGGAAGGCAAGAGATTTTTTCTTAATTACATTTCTAAGAAAGAATTGGGAGAGATTGTAAAGAAGGAAAGGCTTGGAGAGAACTTCTACGGATTTGCTTGGGAAGAATTGTGAGTTAAGTTATACTTTTCATTTCTTTTGTTTGTAAACTTGTTTTTATATATGAAATCCATGTTTTATCGTATTAT